GAAGATTATGACCATGACGATGACAATATTGTCGATCTTTTCATGACCTTGAGCTTGGCAAAGGATTCTTTTTTTTGAGTCAGAGTCTCACTCCTTCACCCAGGCTGGAGGGCCGTGGCATGCATGCTCATGGCCACTCCAGCATTGACCTGCTGGGCTCCAGCGATCCTTCGCCGCAGCCTTCCGAGTAGTCGGAACCACAGGCGCACGCTACCACGCCCGGCTATTTTAAATTTTATTGTAAAGAGGAGGTCTCGCTAAGTTGCCCAAGCTGGTCTCAAACCCACGGGCTCAAGCAATCCACTTGCCTTGGCCTCCCAAAGTGCTGGGATTACAGACTGAGCCACCGAGTCTGGCCAGCAAAGGATTATTACATTAGACACCCAAAGCATGAGCAACGAAGTTAGATTTGAAAAAAATGAAAAAATAAAACTTCTGTGCATCAAAGAACATTATCAAGAATGTGAAAAGACAACCTTAGAGAATGGAAGAAAATGTTTGCAAATTATGGAGCTGATAAGGGTTTACTATCCAGAATCTATAACAAACGAGTACAACTCAGCATAAAAAAACCCAATTAAATATGGACAATAAAAATTAAAAAAATAAAAATGGACAATGATGAACAGACCTCTGTCCAAAAAATGTATACATGAGACCAAAAAGCACACGAAAAGATGTTCATTGATCATTGAGGAAATCAAATCAAAACACAATGAGATACCACCATACACCCTCTAGGATGTCTTTAATTTTAAAACAACGGAAAATAACTAGAGTTGGCAAAGATTTGGAGAAGTTAGAAGCTTATGCACTCCTGGTGGAAATGTAAAATGGTACAGTCACTTTGTAAAACAGTCTGGCAGTGCCTCAAAAGATGACCATATGACCCAGCAATTCCACTCTTAGGTACATACCCAAGAGAAATGAAAACATATGTCCACACAAAAACTTGCACACAAACGTCCATAGCAACACTATTCACAATAGCCAAAGAGTGGAAGAAAAACCCAATGTCCCTCAACTTACAAACACATAAATACATTGTAGCATATATAAACCCATGGGGCCGGGTGAGGTGACTCATGCCTGAAATCCCAGCCCTTTGGGAGGCCAAGATGAAAGGATGGATCACTTCAGCCCAGAAGTTAGAGACCAACCTGGGAAACATAGTAAGACTTGGTCTCTACAAAATATCAAAAAACTTACCCAGGCGTGGTGGCGCTGGTATAGTCCCAGCTACTCGGGAGGCTGAGTTGGAAGGATTGCCTGAGCCCAGGAGTTTGAGGCTATGGTGAGCCATGATCATGCCACTGCACTCCAGCCTGGGTGACACACACACACACACACACACACACACACACACACACAATCAAATCATGGAATATCACTCAGCCATACAAGGAATAAAATATCGATACATGTTACAACATAAATGAGCCTTGAAAAACGTTCTGCTAAGCAAAGCAGTCAGACAGAAAAGACTGCGTAATATGTGATGCCATTTACATGAAATGCCCAGAATAGGTAGATCCCTGTAGACAGAAAGCAGACCAGTGGCGACCAGGGGGTGTGGGAGGGGGAAATAGACAACAGTGACTACATGGGTAGGAGATGTTTTCCTGGTGTGATACAATTATGAAACTAAAGAAAGGTGGTTACACAACATTGTGAATGTACTAAACGCCACTGAAGTGTATGCTTTAAAATGGTTAATTGTATGTTATATGTATTTCACCTCAATAAAAAAACTTCAATTAAAAAGCGGCTAGAAACTGGAAAACATCAACACCACTTCCAACGCCCTGGTGGCACTGAGCGCCCACTGGGGGCCAAGCCTCCCTCACCTCCCTGCAGCCCCAAAAGTTGGGAACTCTTTGGGGCTCAGTAAGGGAGACAGACCCAGCCAGTCTTACAGGGCTGACAAGGGACAGTGGCAGGGGCTCTCAGTCCTCCCTGCCTCCAGACTCCCAGCGACCACGGCGGTCCCCTGGGTTTCTCTCCTGGCCTCCCTGGGCAGGAGCTGGTGAGGTCAGGGGCCGGGAACGTTGCTGCAGCCACAAGGCGGGAGTTAGTGACTGAGGAGCTTGGAATGTGCCTGCCTTTGAAAGGACCTCCTTGTGACTTCATCGACGGTTAGAGCAGGAAGGGACTTTCAAAGCCGTGTAATCAGACACACACACACACACACACACACACGCACGCACAATTTGAGACCTGAGCCCCCCGCTCCCTCGGCTGCCCCAGACTTCTTGGGAAGAGGGGCAGGGTGATATTTCCAGACCAGGCAGGTGAACGCAGTCATGGCTGACCTTTGTCAGGCCTGGCACGCGCCACCACCTGGCTGTCTGTGTCACCCCTAACCTGTCTGGCTTGGGCTCAGCCAAGGAGTTCGGATATCAGAGCGGGTGTGTGCGTTTGTGTGTGTGTGGTGCACACATGCTGCAAAATGCCTTTCATGTGTGCTTGGAGACTCACGGCTCCTACCCCTGGGGCTTTTTATGAACGTGACTTTATTTTCACTACTATGTGTGAAATTCTTACTATGCGCTGTGCTACGCGTGTGACATTTTATTTCTGCCCTTTGACAACCCTGAGATGTACTTATTATTATGTCTCCATTTTACAGGTGAAGAAAAAGAGGCTCTGAAATTGTGTACCTCATTTAAGTCACACAACTGGTGAGCAGACTAACCAGAATTCAAACCCAGAACCCAGAATTGTCAGACTCCGGCATACTTGATCTTCCCATGGGTCAAACTGCCTCAAAAACTCTCTCTCTCTCTCTCTCTCTCTCTCTCTCTCTCTCTCGCTCTCTGTCTCACATACCCATTATTTCTCATGCTGGTAAACTGCTGTGGTTTCTTTTTCTTTTTTCTTTTTTTTCAGTAGGAGTCTTACTCTGTCCTCCAGGCTGGAGCGCAGTGGCAGGCTCACGGCCACTGCAGCCTCGACCTACTGGGCTCAGGCAATCCTTCTGCCTCAGCCTCCCAAGCAGTTGAAACTACAGGCACTCCCCACCACACCCGGTTATTTTTTTTTTTTTAATTTATTGTAGAGACAAGGTCTCACCAAGATGTCTAGGCTGGTCTCGAGCCCCTGGACTCAGGAAATCCTCTCGCCCCTGCCTCCCAAAGTGCTGAGATTACAGGCATGAGCCACCGCACCTGGTGGTTTCTTTTCTTTTTAGAGGAAGACAGGTATTGAGTAAGGCAAGGGTGAGGGAGAGGCACCGAGCTGGCAACCACCTTCTGAGCGCACCGCACTTCACAGCTTACAAAGCACTTTCACATCTGTGATCTCATTTGATCCCAGAACAGCCCCATGAGGTCAGCAGGGAGGCCTAATTAGGACTAGGACTCAGAGGGAAGATGGCCTGTCTTGGGTCACACAGAGGGCCAAGCTGACTTTCCTGCCTCTAAGACCTGAGTACACCCACAGACCCCCAGCCACCATTCCCAAGGAAGGCAGCTAGCCCAGGACATGGGATCAAAACTGGAGCTGATCAAACAGAGGTGCTGGTGATAAAGCAGGAGAGCCCAGCCTTCTTTCTGTAGCTGTGTGACATTGACAGCCCCTTACTCTCTCCAGGTCTCAGTTTCATCATCTGTGGAATGGGAGGAAGCAGAGAAGCAGCATTGGGATGGTGCTTTTTTTTTTTTTAATTTAAGTTGGAGTCTCA